CGTATTTCTTAAGGACTTAGTGCCCAAAGTGGAGCACAGTACTTTAGTGGGGGCTTTCCTGGATAGAGTGGAAGCATCATCTCCCTGGTCTTACGGATAATTTTCTTTATACACTGTGGTATGTTGTTTGCCTTTTTTGCAGAGGCATTACATTGTTGAGATATTCATCATCCACAATGCCTCCCCTCTCTCAAAACCAAGAGTTGTACTCAATAATCAGTGTGGGTCCCTTCCAGCTCAGAATATTCTGTGATTCTGTGGTACTGCATTGTCATTCATCTCCTGTCCATAGTTGTGCCATTCCTTGTTGCTGCCTGAACACACAGCCCTGAACTTGCCTTTACTGAGTTGCTTACAATTTTTTCAGACCATTTCTCCAAGTTGTTGGGACAATTTTGAATTCTAATATTCATCTCTAGCTTCTTCTACATAATCTGTCTCAGCTTTGCTATCTCAAGTTTGTGTTTCAAAGGTAAAATATTGAATTATGTTGCATAAAGGATGGTCCTCAGTGGAATTCTGTTTAGTTTTATTTCCAATCTGACAGTGATATCCATTCTATGAATACCATTTTCCTACTGGCTTTGCACGTATTTCACAGTTTCTTCAATTTCTAAGTATATCATTATTTCCTAACTTCTTAATGAACCTGTCACATTAGACAGGGTTCAAAGCCCCAGTAAACTGAAGTTGCGTTGTTTGTGTTGCTGCCCCATCAACAAGACCTGTTGCCCAGTTACAGCTGATGTTTGACTGCAGTTGATCTATTCCTGATAAATCTCTTAACTGTTGGTCCTTTCCTGACACAAATAAAACCACATTAAAATATTTAGATTTAACTGTGATTAATAATTGCTGAGTGAAGTCTATTAAATTTTTGTAGATAAAAACTCCTAATTGTGTGCACAGTGAAAAGGCTTCGTACAAACAAGAGTTTCTGTGTCATCGCAGCGTTTGGTCTGAAAGCAAGGAGCTGTCTGCTATTCCTGATGACAACCCCTTCTGCAGTCATGGTTATGAGAAGGAAGTTGCCTGCCTAGAATAAAAGCAGGAGTTGATCTAGACCTGACAGAAGGACATGGAAAGCAGAAGACACATCAAATATAAAGGGAGAAATGGTTATGGCTGGGGAAGTCAATACAGTTCTGTGGCTGATGAACTAAGAAGGGGAGGGCACGGACAATGCAGAGGGAGAACTTAGACTATGGGTAAAAATGGAATAGAAAATCCTAGAGTGGAAAAAGAGGAAGAAAAGATGAAGGAACAATGCAGAGAAAAACCATGGGCTGAGAAGTAAATGGACCTGGGGAAAGTACTTTGTGTTGGAGAAGAATTCTCTGTAATGAAATGAGGAAAGTACTTGGACTGTATTCAACAGAACTTTGCCCTGTTCTCAAGTAGTGGGAGCAGTACAGATTGGAGTCATCTGAAGATAGCAGGGGTTTTCCTCATGTATTATCAGGGCCTGTAGCAGTGGTTTTGGGGAAATTTGTTTTTTAATGTTTCTCAGCTAACAGGAAAATTTGGCCACAATACTGGCACAGGTAATTCGTACACACATGCAAGTGACCCACTGGACCCCTTTTTTAAGCCCTGTCAAAGCCCCTATGACATAATGCTCATCAGATGGAAGTCAGGCACTGAATTAAGCAGATCTCAGTACCTTGAATGATCCACGGCGTAGCTGTGGAATCAATGAGGAATCAGGAAAGAAGCCAGGAGTTGGGGAATTGATGCCAGTGGAGTAAGAGTCTTTGGAACAAGTTGTTCCAGCAGCAGGAGGACAGTATGGTGTGGGTGAATGAAGGAGGCTGGACTGGGGGAGGTAACGAGAAAGACAAACATATTAAGAGGGACTTGACTGGAGGAGGACAGAGGAATCACACTTTGAAAATCAGAAATATCTTCTCCTATTATAGAAAAATGCCAGACAGAAGATGAATTTAAATGCAGGGGGTTCACGTTGCTGTGTAGACAGAGGCAGGGATGATTCTGAAAAAAACCTGTAATGTTTGCAGCGTGTTTGGTGAGTTTCCTCTTTCATCACCGCTACACAAATTGCTACTTTTGTGCTTGGTATTCAGTAAGTAACCTTATTTTGATATTTCACAAAGTTTGTTTTCTATGCTGGCAGCAGCTAATCCACTTTTGGAGGCTTCCTGAAAGTTCTGGTGGCTACTGGTGTCCTGAGTTCTTGTCAACTGTAGGTATGGCATCAGTCAAAAACAGCATAGATGGCAGTGGTGAGTGGTGTAAAAATCCACTTAGCTCAATAATAAAATGATGCCAATTCTGTGGTATTTTAATTATAAACTGAGGCTTCATGAAAGTTGAAGGTTGCCAGTTAAACTGTCCATTTTTAAAAGCTCTGAAAGAAATCTGTGAAATTCCCTCAAGGTTTTGGGTTTTTTTCCCAAGTGCAAAATTTTGTAAGTGAATTACTTACTTTGGACTTACTCGTATATCATATATAACAAATTTTCTGTCTGTCATGGGATCCCAGCAGCTTTCATATTGAATCCACGTGAACTTCAACTGTGGGTTAGTTTCTTAGGTTGAAGTACTTCCAGCTATCTTCTTTGAGACTTGTTTCCTTACAAGACAGGGGCAGGGAAATATGTTGGGTTTTTTGTTGTTATTAAAGATGTTATTATTGCCATTGCAGAGTATTTTCTTTTTAGTTGTTGAAAATGTTGATTTTCTTGAAGAGTAGTTATAAAATGGACATAAATAGCACCTCAGATCATCAGGATGAAGTTGAACCAGAGCTTCTTGTTCAACTTCCTTTTCCCTTCATTCTTTATGTTCTCCCAGAGGTTGTAAAAAACTCTTGGCTATGAACCGGATACAACAGGAGCTGCAGGTTATCAGCCCTGCTGCAAAGAAATCAGATGGATTAGTTTAAAGGCCTAAGTATATTAACATAGGGACTTACTTTAATCTTCCTACATTTGATTTTTTTCCAAAAGTGTACAACAAAGAAGAGCATTCAGAGAATTAATATTGGATGTTCCAATTACTGTGCCATGGCTATTACCCTCTGTGCAATGAGGTAAAAATGGTTTGTATTCACAGGTTTTTATGTAGAAGGAATAATAGCCCTGAAAATGTTGGAGTGCATTATAATTAGAAAGATCACCTGCTAGTACACCTGTTGGGTGATGGCATAATATAATATAATTTTATGTTAATTACCTCTATGCTTTTTTCCCTGCACCTGCTGTTTATAATGTCAGAACTGTACAAAGGTCCTAAGAAGTGACAATAGGAGCTGCATGTCACTGATCATCAGTTTACATATTGCATGCCTAAATGGATCTTGATTTCAGCATGAATAACAGAGATTTCTGTCACATTTATTTGTAAACATGGATTATGTATTCACTATATACCCAAATTTTGCATTCAGATGGCTTAAATCTTGTAAAAGTATATATTCCATTCAGGAGTCTGCACTTTAACTATGTCAGATTAAAACAAAAAAAAATTTATTTCTCAGCTGATAGAAGTGTTGATTGTTTATAGAATTTGTATTTGTTAAATATTAAGAAATTATGAGACATTTAGCTTTTAATTGCTGTCTGTCAGAAGTCTGAGTTAAGCTAATAAGTCTTCACAAGGATAAGTCAATCATTTGTTCCCCATGTTGCAGCAGAGGAGTAGAGTATAAAATATTGTTTCTTTTCTCATACACGCTTCTTCCTTCAAATTAAAAACGTAATATTTATTAATGTGTTAATTACGAATGCAATAGGTGGTTGGCATAGGTGTGAGCATCCAGACATGAAAAAAAGGCAGAGCTAATCTGAAATACTTGCTTTGAATTTTGACCCTGCTGACAAATGTGCATGTGTGTGCACACACTCGGTTTGAAGAAGAAACTCACTGAGTGTTGACAAACACATGACATGGACTCAGTCTCACTTGTGGCTTTTAGGCACTGCTGAGCCTTTTTTTTTAAAGCAATAAGAAACTGTTACCCACTTTGGATAAAAAATGTGTGTACTGTATCTTTATGCTTATGAACTCAGATATGATAAGTGAAAAGCCCCATTTTGTGAGCTCAATTTAATGTGCTGTGTATTTCCTCATGCATTTGATAAAAGGGAAGAGCCAAACAAAGGCTTTGTGGTAGCTGCTACTGCCGTGTTTCAAAAACAGATTGGAGTGACAATCTGTCTTTTGTGTTTTCCCTGGTCTAAGAAGGAAGTAGATAGAAATACTCTAATTCCAGCCTCGTGCTGCCAGCCAGTCCCACCCCTGGGCAGGAGGTGAGGAGAAGCACTTCACAGCCATCCTGCAGAAACTCCTTCTGTGGTGTGGTGTTGCCTTCAAGTGTGTTGCCCAGGGTTTTGAAAGCCATCTCATGATTTAATCTCAGTGTTTGAGTGTTTTAGTTAAAATGAAACATGGGAAGGCAGCATACAATCTTGTTTTGATGTGTTAAACTTATATTTAAGTTACTGTTGTGATGAAAACCATACCACTTTGGTATCCTTACTTTGACATGCTTACATTCCTAGACTTGCTGTTGTCAAAGGTAATGAAGGTTTCAAACTGTCTGAAGCAGTGCTGGAAGTGCTAATAGACTTTTGGTTTTAAAAAATATCTCTGTTGGAGTTACAGGGCTTGTGAGCTTAAGCCCTAATGATTTGACAAAGATATTTGTCAGCCATGTAGCTGTTAATTGGAACTATAAACTTCTCAGAGGAAACTGATCCTCACGATAAAGAGAGGAGGAAAACAGAGCTGTGTTTTGTATAGACCATTTGCATTTGTCTCACAGTGGTAAATTGGAGCCAAGCACTGTACAGACACATCAAAATACATCTGGAACAATCAGCTAGGTCAAGCCAGGCTTAGTAGGTCTGGGTCAGTATGAGCCACGATGTGCTGGGTTTGGGCAGTGCAGTGCTAAACTTCAGACTGACACTGAAGCCCAAACTCTCACCACGGGCTGGTGCTGTGAGTTCAGACCCTGCTCACCCTCCCCCAAGCCAAGCCTCTCTTGTCCTGGGAAGGCACCTTTATCAGGAAGGTGGTTTTCCCAGGGTGAAACTCATCCCTTGCAGTTGGGGTGTGCTGACCCCTGTGATTTCCACAGATGCAGAGCTAATGAATACAGCTGTAATCTGTTAATAGGTGACTCATTTCAGACCATGGCAAAAGCATTTTATTTGTAGTGTGAAATACTGGGGTAAGGAAAAGCATATGGCACAGACTTGTGACAGGGAAGATGGTAGCAGAAAAAGGAATATAACCATGATTAAAAGCAGAACAAAATTCCTTAAACATCATATTCAAAAAGTGCAAGTAGTTGTACAAAAGCATAGGAAGTTCATAGTGGCAGATAAACCTGAAAGCACAGCACAAACATCATAGTGCCTGTGGCCTATTTACCAGTCAGACGCACCTTCTCCCTCTCTGCCCTCTTCCACCTCTGCCCCAGTATCCAAAATCACCTGAAATGTATGATGTTTTCCAAGGGTGTGTGTTAAAATACTTTATTGCTCCAACCAACAGAGCTTCAAAACAACAAACCTAACTTTTGATTTCTGTAAAAACCAAAGGTACTAATACAGATGAAATGTGAATAGCATTGATTTTTGGGCAATTTTCTAAGGACAAGCAGGATACATTAAGAGTCTGGAAATGTCGTCAAAGACAGGAGTAAGGAATATTGGAGAACATTTAATTTAGTAAAGGGCATTCCGTGTGGATCTATGCAAAAATGATCAACTGGCAGTGTAAGACAGAGCATCCATAGAAAGAAATACCAAGTAAAAAACAGTAAGAAATATGCCTCCTTTATGGATTCAAGTATATTTCTGCATCTTTCAACTTCTTTCTGAAACCATTGAAATGGACTTTTAGAATCATAGAATCATGGAATACGCTGGATTGGAAGGAAACCACAAGAATCATCGAGTCCAGCTCCTGGCCCTGCACAGGACATCCCAAGAGTCACACCATCTGCCTGAGAGTGTTCTCCAAACACTTCTTGAACTCTGTCAGGCTTGGTGCTGTGACCACTGCCCTGGGGAGCCTGTTCCAGTGCCCAACCACTCTTGGGGTGAATAATCTTTTTCTGATATCCAACCTGTATCTCCCCTGATTCAGTTTCATGCTGTTTCCTTGGGTCTTGTGACTGGTCACCAGAGAGAAGGAATCAGTGTCTGCTCCTCCATTTCCCCTCACGAGGATGTGGAAGACCCCAATGAGGCCACTCCTCAGTCTCCTCTTCTCCAGGCTGAACAAACCAAGTGACCTCAGCTGCTCCTCACACAGCTTCCCCTCCGGACCCTTCACCATCTTTGTTGCCCTCCTTTGGACACTCTTTAATAGCTTTGTATCTTTTTTATATTGTGGTGCCCAAACCTGCACACAATATTCAAGGTGAGGCTGCACCAGTGCAGAGCAGAGCAGGACAATCCCTTCCCCTGACTGGCTGGCGATGCTTTTCCTGATGCCCCCAGGACACGGTTGGCCCTCCTGGCTGCCAGGGTACTGCTGACTCATAATCAGGTTGTCATTGACCAGGACCTCCCCTGTCCCTTTCCTCAGGGTTTCTCTCCAGCCTCTCGTTCCCCAGTCTGTACACACAGCCAGGGTTGCCCCATCCCAGGTGCAGAATCCAGCACTTGCCCTTGTTAAACTTCATACAGTTGGTGACAGCCCATCCCTCTGATTTGTTGAGGTCTCTCTGCCCTCAAGGGAGTCGACAGCTCCTCTCAATTTAGTGTCATCAAATTAGGAGGAGTTGTTGACTCCCTTGAGGGAGTTTAGTTAGACAACAAATAAAAGCAGTGAATATGTTTATAAATAATATCATGCAAAAATTTGCAAAGTCACCATCTAAATAGTGAAGGGATTCTAAGTAGTCTTAGAAGTGTTAGATTTGCTGGTTTTAGGAGGAAAGAGTAGGATAGAATGACATGAGTATAAATACCAGCATTGATTTTATTTATAGCTCATTTGGAAGTTTTTATTAGTTTTTAATTAATACCTTATGGCAGAGTTGCACCAGAGGAAGATAAGTTAGATAATCAATTAAGAAAAAAATGGTCATGTGGCTATGTCATCCTTTGAATGTATATTGTTACAATTCTCCTGTTGATTTCTGTTGCAAATTATGTGCAACATATATACATGAAGAAATGCTGTAACTTTGGACATCATAACAAAAGAAAGACATTGATGTCCAGGGCTTTCATCTTTTAAAGTATATTCAGTGTAGTAGCCACTCTTGATGTATTTAGTTAATAAGAAGAGAAACACTGATTTAATACAAGTTAGTTCATAAGAAGAGAAACACTGATTTAATACAAGTATCATGTGAATAAATACAATGAAATAACAGCATATGGAAATCACTCCCTGCTATTTGAGCTGTGGTGGCAAGAACCTGAATCTTACAGTGTAGCACCTTGGGAAGCAATTTCCATTTAAAGAAAAAATGTATAGAAGGTGAACTCCTGTGATTTCCACAGCTGCAGCTATTTCATAAGTAAATGGTCACAGGTGGTATGGAAGGAGATTATGCTGTAAATAATCAAGCCAGAACATTCTCATAGAAGGGCTTCTTAAAAAAAGTCTCTATGTTTTTGTATATAACCTTTATTTAATATCAAGTGGACATAGAAGCACTCAATTTAGGATCATTTTCATTCTCCAGATGGAACACCCTAGATGAAGCTCAGATTTGACACTCATCAGAAATAACAGAACATTAAATATATTATGCTCAGCCCTGTGTGTTTTATGGTACCTGTGGAGACCACCAAGCTGCATTCTTTGTCTTGAAAGTTTTATAGTATATATTAACATGTGGTTTTTATTCTTACTATCAAGTACCAAAAAACAATCTCTGAACTCCAGGTTTCCTATGTTTATTTAATTACTAAAAATGCAATTTTTTTAGAGGAAAAAAAAGAATAATGAGTAATCACTGTATATAGAGAAAAACAGATCTAATGATCTAATTGATCATAAAAATAAAAAGCCTCTCTACCTTCTCACACAAGAAAAGAAGGAGGAAAAGAGGCAACAAAAAATGAACAATCACAAATTCCATCACAAATACGTTCTCTCAGGGAGGCTCTTTCCAGTGGTCGTTGCTGTGATAGTGAGGAGCAGGCAGCACATGGGTCAGCCCTGGATGGATCTTTTGTTGGCAAACCATCTCTGATGGTTGTCAGAACAGTGCACAAATACCAAGGACAGTGGCTGCAGGAGAGAGGTCCTTAGGGAAAGTAAATATGGAATCATATTGACTGAGGAAGGAGACGATGTGGTTTGGTGAAGCGGCAGGGACATCTCAACTGCTGCTGTATCCTAGGAGGTCACATTTCATTGTTTAAAACATGTATCAAAAATCTCACCACTGGCATTGGAATAAAATTATGAGGTCAGAATGAAAGAAGTCCCATAGCAGCCTTCAGAGTTCCTGGAAGTGCCAAGGATGGTTAAGTTTCACTTCTCAGATGTTCGGGAATGATCCTGAAGGGCTAAAACCTCTTGTCCAATGTTACAGAATGTATCAGAAGGAATTTATTTTAGGAAATAAATTCACTGGTATGCTCCCTACTCAGTATTAAAAAAAACCAAAATGACTGTGTATTGATGCAATAAACCAACTTCAGTAGTCACTATTAATCCTCCAAACAAAATAATTGCCAGTGTTCTTAGAAAATTGAGAGACAAATGATTAATTCCTGCTGTGGGGTGTGATGTGTGCTGGATTAACTGAAAGATTTAGTTGACTAATGGTTGGGTAAGTCTGGATATATGCTCTTAAGGTCATAACACTGCTACAGATCATAGAATCCTCTGTATGTGTAATAATATGGAAGCTAATTTTTCAGCTTGTCCTAACACCTCATTCATAGTTTCAGTGAACGTTGGATCCAGATTTAATGTGAAAAGTCACTGGTAATCATGTGAAATGAAGAAGTTGTGATTATAATGTGAATATTTTCTTGGAAGGACTAAATGAGTGGATTATGTTCTTATCCCTTATTTAATAATACCTAAATTAAATAGTCCTAAGGAAATGGAGGATTAACAAGTAAGAAGTATAATACACAGCAAGCAGTCTAGCTGAAGAAAGACTACATAATCTAAAATATCCTCAACTAAATCCACTGAAGCAAATTTAGCAGGGAGACTGAATTACTTGGGATATGTGCGTGCTTACAGTGGTCCATTTGGGTCAAGGCTAAAGTTCAGAAAGGATAGAGTCTCAGACTGCCTTTCTGCCCTTGTACCTATGCAGTCCATGAGCGGAGGACTCCAGCTGTGAATGGACATAATCTTCTTAAGAGTAAAAAATCTAAATATTTGTGTAAAAACAGGCAAACAAATGTAGCACGATAGCACACAGACACTCTGGGGGAGCTTCATCATGTTGTTTGTGCATCTCTGTGAGTCATCCTGCAGTTCTGCTCTCCCTGAGGTCAGTTAAAAAACTTCTCTTGACTTCAGTACATGTAGAACAACAGTTCACCAACACAAAATTGTTGGGTTTTTTTATTTTCTCCCAAACTCACATTTTTCCAAAGTTGTAGAATACATTTGAAGACGGATCTATTTCATATCCAACTTTATTCAGAAGTGTTGGAATTTCTGCATGAAAGCTGCAATCAATTCCTGTCTTAACAGAATTGCAACTAGAGGTTCTAATTGACATTAGCAGAGAGTAAGGACATGCATTTTGATGTTGATTAGTGACACATGTTAAGGACCCAGGTTTCCATCCTTGCTGCCTTCTTTTTATCTAAAACAGAGTTTCCTCTCCTCTTTTTTCCAGGTCTGGCGTTGGTGTGACGGGTTCTAGGCAGACACTGTTTTATGCAGAAGTAACAGACCAGATGAGAACCAGTGGAGGAGGTGGCCAGCCCGAGGAAGGAGAGCTGATAGAAGTTGTGGAAATACCTTTGGAAGAATCCATGAAGTTTGCTTATGATGAGACTTTCCCAAAGACGATGGGTGTCATCTTCAGCTTCACGTGGTTCCAAAACAACATAGCACCCAAACTACCAAAAAAGTAAAGCACTGTGATCTTAAGAAAAACTTTCCTGCTGGTTCTGTGGATACAGAAAGCTGCAACTCTTCCTGCCTCCATCAA